TAAAGTGCAAGTACCAGGTACTGTTTTCCAATTGAACCTAGCTAAAATAAAAGTTCCTTAATATTATGGTTCTCACCTTAAGTGGGAACCCACATTTTAACTAGGCGGCCAGGATCTGCACACTTTTGTTTTATATCTTGTCTCACACACAGCTCACTTATAATCTTGAAATCTACAGACTTCTAGACATGGTTTATCTACTTATGCACGTGCTTTGGTACACAAACCGATCTTTTTAGAGACATATGCTTTGTCACTTGTGAGCTAATCCTTTGTGCTACAAAGAAAATAGAAAACCGCAACGCATAAAAATACTTTGTTTTCTTTTTAGCTCGTTTTCAGTAGGTTCTATCGGAGGAAAGTCGCCGGACCACAACAACGAAATCAGTCGAAGCGAGCTCCATGCCCATTAAAGGAGAGGCCAATTGTACCTCAACTGTAAAAGTGTGGAACCTTTGCTTAATCTTAAGCTTGAGGACGTAAGCACTTCTCACGCTCTTTTAATAACTAAATTTTCTTTTTCGTTTTCTAATTTTTGTGAGTTTGGTATTGCAAAGTTCTAAGCTTGGGTAAGTTATATATTTGCATGTGTAGGGTCGTATTCAATGTTCTATAGCTTAGGATTTTCATGAAATCGCGTGTCCCACTGTTTTGAAATGCTTGCTTTACTTTAGTTTCACCTAGCATGATGAAATCTTATTCTTTTCGAAAGACATCGCTATGTTCTTTTATCAAAAACAATAAAGGAGTCATTTAAAATGTTGCATTTGTTTCACCTAATTACATAAGTTGGGGACTAGTGGTGGCTTGATTAGTACTACATGTTTTAGATGCTTTTTGCTAATAGATCGAACGACTTTGGTTGATCCGGGAATGCGCAACGAGTAATCCCGCCAAATAACCCCCTTGGGGTACTTAACTTTTGAGTCTAATGGAATATGTCAGTGCCACACTCTTATGTGGAGTTTGAGTTTTTTTGTTATTAAAGTGAGTTCGAAGCCTTTGCACTTTCGTTTCATCTTTTATTGCTAGCCCCTTTGGTACCAAGCATTGCCCACAGCAATGATATTTGACGCATACTGCACTAGTACATCCAAACTCCTTGAGGGAATTCCTCTTGTTCTCCTACACATAAGCCCTACATATTCTTAAAACAGTCCTCTTGTTCATTATGCAGTACTATCATTATTACATCACACTAAATGGCTTGTTGCGGCAATTGGCGCAGAGACAGACTACATCCCGGAAGTTAAGCAAATTATTTGAAGGATTTTTTTCCTCAACTTTCTTCAAATGATTATGTTCATATTGTGTTGTTATTTGCATTAATTCACTATGATCATTGCCCATAGCTTTCTGTGGTGATTTGTTTTTGATGACATGAGACTCTGTTCATGATGATTTTTTTCTCAACTATCTACAACTGTGCAAAGACCAACTACAACGAGAAGTTAAGCAAGTTAGGAGCGACACGTATAGCATACGCTCCTTCAATAAATCATCCCTAAAGGGCGATTGAGAAGGTGAATTGATTGTACATTGTATTCTTTCATGCCCCAACTGGGTTAACAGAAAACCCAAACGATATCGCACGGCAAATTACACGAAGGAACATAAAATGAAAGTTAAGTGAACTAATTAAAGAGACCAATTGCGGCCATTGGCGCAAAGACATTTTTCGTAAACGATCTGCAAGTGATTATGTTTGTATGTATATTTACCAACGGGAGATGTCCATATCCTTGTTTCGCCGAATAGTGCAACCCAACATCGTAATTTCCGATGGAGCTCGTCTCTGATGGTTTACTTACTTTTTAAACATCGCTTGTTAGTGTTTATTACATATGGTTTGCTTGCCTTCTTCATAGCTTATTCATAGTCACTTCGTTATATTAACACTTACCGGATCAACAGAGGTTCTTTGCCGGGACGCGGAGAGCCTTGCGTGCTCAGATGCGGATTAATTAGCATGTCTGGGGAGTGTGTGGGCCGGCTCGCGCTTAGGAGCCTGCCCGCAATGTAGCCTGTCTTGCGAACAACGCAGCCACGACCGGAGCAACCAAACCGAACAATGAGGCAGGCAAAAATGCTCTATTCTTCTTCGTGGCCTTTGGTTTGGTGTGAACCACAATAGCACATTGTTCTAACTATTTCCTTTGTAGCGCCTTCTTGTGCTCACTTTCTAGCCACGCCACCTTTTTTGTCTCGAAGTTAAGCAAGTTATGGCACCACGTATAGCAGGCACTCCTTCAATAAATCATCCCAAAAGGGGTGATTGAGATGGTGAATTGATTGTATGTTTTATTCTTTCATGCCCCAGTCGGGTTAACAGAAAACCCGAATGCATATCCCATGACAAATGACACGAAGTATTCGAACTAATAATCCCACCCGGGATCACATGAGCAGAAGAAAACTAAGCAAACCGGCCAGACGCTGGCCTAGACAACTAGACAATCAGACAACCAGCACAATAGAAAGGAGTTTGTTGCGCCATTAGCGCAAAAACAACCGCGACCAGAAAGTTAAGCATGCCATTGGCATGATTACGACGATGACGACGACTCGGATGGTGGTTGGGCCGACAGAGCGGACGACGACGGAGGTGTTGGTGGCCTTGGAGGCCATGCTTATTAGGTCACCGTCCGGTACCTCGTCCATGTTTAGTTTAGTTTAATTTAGGTTGAACTTGTTTATTTTTGTCCTTTTATTTTAAATATACCAAATTTTGTTAAATTTCATCCATTCACCTTAAAATTCATTCATATTTTGTTTTGTTTATTTGAAATGAGTCGGATATTTGATGACTAAGAGTATCTATAGCCGGGTGCCCCAAACCAGCCTCCAACACTTGGATGGACTGCCCGGTCACTGAACGGCCATGAAAATGCGACTAACAAGAGCACACCAAACGAGCCTCAAATGCCCGGGATGACCGATACCCTCATATCTAGCCCAAATATGGGGCGGATATGGAGGCACCCAGACGCGTCGGGGTGCGTCCTCCACTTCGGTGCTGGTCCACTCGAACCCCACATATATTCCTCCCCATTCGCTTGCCGGACCAAAACCCTAGCCATTTGACTCCAGTCCCCTCCACTCCCCTCTACCACCCAAGTTCCCGTCCGACGATCTCCGGCATGGTGGGCGATGGATTCGAGTCCCACACATCTAGATCCGTCGACCCTGAGCTCATCCCACGCGGCCTGAAGGAGAAGATGGTCGTCCGGCTTGTGATCAGCCACTCTCGGGAGGAGGCCCGTGTGAGGCAACGATCGGACTCCTTTCGTTGGGAATCCATTGGGTCCTCCAAAATGGCACATAGATCCGGCGCTAGGTGTGCCATCGCTGCCTAACCGGTGGTGGTGTAGTCCGTTTGCCGTCAGAACGCGGTGGCGGACGCACAACCCCTCTGTTGGCACAATGAGGCCATGGATGCACCATGGGCATCATCCGACGCAAACATGGCGAGGTATGCCTGTTGTGTGAGGCAGCAGGTGCGGGAGGCGGCGAAAGCCCTCGCGGCGGTGGACGTTGGCGAGGCGGAGTCGCATTCTCCGATGCCCCGTATGGTGCACCACTTCGAGCGCCGAAACCGTGTCGTGGTGGATGTCGCCAACTCGTCCCATAACAGATCCATCATCGATCTGACGTCCACCAGCACCGTCCGGGTTACGAGCTCCGACAAGAAAGGGTAGGGCATGGGAAACGGCGGTGCCTTGAGTCCCATGAGATGGCTCTTGTCCCATGCCCTACTCTACCTTGCCGCGACCGGACCAACACTCTGGGGAACACAGCCGGCCGCAGAACATGGGCATGGCGGAGCCGGACGGCTCCGCTTAGATTAGGTTTCACATTGCATGTAATAATATGGATTTGAGGTTTATATAATTTGAGGTATCCGGTTGTAGAATCAAATATTTGAGGCATGACTGGTCACTATCCGTGATCAATGACACACTTATTATGGGATCGTTGTTGTAGCCGCAGAGGTGTTCCGGTTAGCTAGGCGGGGTCCCCACAGAGCGGCAGCCTCCGCTCCTCCTGATGATGGCAACACGATGAGCTCAACGGGTAAGGCGTGCGAGTGCGAGACGACGGGAGGAGGCGGTTAACGAGATGCGGTGGCGTGAACAGGCAAAACCAGAATGCTCGAATGGAGGACAGCATGATTAGGGTTTCGCCGCGTGAAATTGCATACCTGCCCCACTATAGGGTAGAAGTATCTCACCTTTGCCACTGGTAAAATATCCAACGGCTGAGTCGCATTGGTATAACTCCAAATTTAACATGTTATATATGAATTTTGATGAGAAAAATATATACAATTTGAATATGATGTTATTTTACTTGTTAACAATTTAAAAAGAAATACTATCTAGGGTGCAATCTTAATCAATAATGCATCCGTCAGTTCTTGTCGTTTTCCTTTACCAGCCCGTAACAATACCTTATTTCACACATGACATGAATAAATGCATGATCACTTGCCCGTTTCTTTGTACGGATTAAATCTATATGCAAGCCGTGTTGAAATATAATACCTGTGAAATCTTGAACTGCGCTTTTATAGGCTAAGATCATCTTTGTTTGGGCCATAGCTACAGATTCTTAGATTATAGACCATTTTTAAAAAAATTAAGAGCATGTGGTATTTTTTTTCTTCGGGCCTTTTTGCTAGTAAATAACTAAATATGCAACGAGTAAAACAATTCGAGCCCTAAGATGCACAACCAGGATGGCGTGTGTAAACGGATCGGATGGCTGAAAACGCCTGAGCTGAGCTGGGATTTGAGCGAGCTGCCCCTCTCTAGTACTGCTTCTGAGTGAACCGGCCAAGACCAAGGCCGAAGTGGTAGCAGCCCATGGTCAGTCTCAGTCCAGTCCCGCTGTAGAGCAGAACAGAGGAGAGTTCTAGCAGAGCAGAGTTAGGTAGCTGCCAAAAACCCTATCGCCGCCGCCGCCGCCGCCGTAATTTCCCCTCCGCACAAGCACCGGCAATGGCGGCATCGCAGAGGTTGACTTCGGCGACTACGGCCTCGGCGTGCATCCCGGATACGGCGCGGGGCACGCACGTGTTCACGGTCGCCGGCTACAGGCTGCACAAGGGCCTCGATGTCTGCTACTTCATCAGATCTGCCACCTTCGCCGTCGGCGGCGACGACTGGTGCATCCGCTACTACCCCGACGGAGACGGACTTACGACCAAAGACTACGTTTCAGTCTGCGTCGAGCTCCAGAGCAAGAACTCCGTGGTGAGGGCGCTCTACGACCTGAGGCTTACCAACCGGGCAACCGGTCTGTCTTCACTCATCTTCTCCCAGCCGTCGTCCTTCCCGGCGTTCGACTCCTGCAACTGTAAGAACGAGCATGTCAGGGGGGCTTACATATTCATGAGGAGGGACCGGAACCGGCTCCTCTAACTTAGCTTCTGCTATGTTAGGGAAACAGTACCTAACTTGGTCTGTGGGAACCATTTGATGGAAAATAGATGGACAGGATTTGGTACTGTTCACAGGGCCTGTAGCACACTGTTTGGATGATCGCTATAGCTAAAAATACTGTTGTTTTACCTGTAGTAATTGACACTGTTCAATAACTGTGGCGCTAGATCTCAGCCATTTATTCTAGATCCAACGGTTGAAACATGGCTAAGTTAGGCTCCTAACTTCGCAGGAGCTAAGTTAGAGGAGCCAGTTTCAGAGGGACCTCTTGGAGGCATCCCCCTACCTGCAGGATGACTGCATCGTGATCCACTGGATGTGACTGTTCTCCTCAAGAAAGTACCGGCCGTGGCGACCGCCACCACCAAGACGCCTGAGATCGAAGTGCCGCCGGCGGACCTACTCAACAATCTCGCAATGCTGCTTGAGGAGAAGAAAGGGGCGAACGTGGTGATCAAAGTCAGCGGGGAAACCTTCCACGCACACAAGATCGTGCTCGCCATGCGGTCTCCGGTCTTCGACGCAGAGCTCTACGGGCCAATGGCAATGTGGGACAAGGAGAAGCAGTGCATACAGATTGTGGACATGCAGCCCGCCGTTTTGGGAGCATTGCTTCACATCATATACACAGATTCATTGCCTGCCATGGATGACCTCCTTGACTCCTTGACAGCCATGACAAGAGGGAGATGATCAGGCATCTGCTTGTGGCTGCAGACAGGTATGCCATGGACAGGCTCATGCTGATATGTGAGGGCATCCTCTGAAAGGGTCTAGATGCCGAGAGTGTGGTGGACACGTTAGCTCTAGCTGATCAGTATCGTTGTAGCAAGCTGAGAGACGCTTGCATTGAGTATATCAAGCTCTTCTATTAGAATAGAGGAAATGTATGATCGCCTGACTAGACAGTATGTATTGCTGTCCTTATAGCTTATATATGTATGTACGTGATATGCACTGCCGTCTTTTAGATCATGTTGCCTTGTCCTGAAGTCTTCACATATATTTGGGAGGATATGAGTAAGTTTATCAGAAATTATGTTGGCTAGACCTATATCCATGCCAGCTTCCCGTGAATACCATGTCTATTCTCACACCCCCCAACGTCCCCAGCTGAGAGTTTTGCCACACACAGACTTGACCTTCATCATCTTGTTCTGGTTTGGTCCAAAGATTTTCCGCGGCTTGGTCTTGGCCTTATATAGTAACAGTCGAGCACCTTCCGTCCTCTCCAGCGACGGATGGGATCAGCGGTCCTGGCAAAGTAGGGTCGAGTTTGATTGGGATCTTGGTCAAAGTAAAACGTGACGTGGCCAAGCTTATGTTAAGGGTGTAGACCAAGTTTGTCTCGTCATTCTAGAACAACCAGCGCACCATATCATGGGTGACTATGCCGGTGCGTGGGCCACACATGATGAGCCTGGTAGCCCGACAATCATCGGGTGTGTCAAAAAAGTAGGTGCATGCACACAAGAAGTCGTTGTTGTATTCCTTGTAAATCCATAGCACTTGGAACATTGCTTATATACTCCTTTATTGTTGATATAATGAAGCAGATAGTAATGTAAAAATAAGATGTAGCAAAACTCAAGGAGAAAAATAACTCTCCCTCCCTCATCTTCACAACGCTCCAAAACTAGCACCAGAGCTCGGTAGAAACTGGTGGAGGCCAAGGCCAAAACATGAGTATTTGAGGGTGAAAATTGCTAAAAAAAATTCTCATCTAGGCCCTTGAAAAG